AAGCCTTCTCAGCATAATCTTCTAGAATATTTTTGACAATATGGGTATCCGCGTGACTGGCCTATAATTATTCATTTCGTATTTTTCGCCTTTCTTAAAAAGTGGCTTAACGATTGATTTTTTCAATATACTTGGGAAGGTACCTTCTTCAAAAGACATATTAATTAAATAACATAGCGGTTGACATATGTATCGTGCAGATAATTTAATTGCAGTGGTTGTTATGTTATCAAATCCTACTGCGTTCGTATTGTTAAGACTTTTAATTATCCGAAATATTTCCATAGCATCAGTAGGTATAAAAAATATTGTATGGATATTATTAGTCGTGATAGTTTTGTTTATTTCCTCAACATTATACTTAAAATTATTGTTATTTATCAAGTTTATATAAAAGTGATTAAATATGTCACTTATTTTCTTTGGGTCGTCATATATCCGATTATTTTTATTATTCTGTCAATTTGTGTTTTCGTATTTTGGTCGTCAATATTTTCATTAATTGCCGCCCATGTGGCTTTACATTTATTTTTATTATTGTCGATATGTTTCTTACTTTGTATCTATCTCGATTTATATATGCACTTTTTAAGTATGGAACTGTATGATTTATATTTTTTATTGAGTATTTTTCCCTTTGTTTTATCATATTGTTGACTACGGTAGAGATATCTTTTCCTTATACATGATTTTCTAATGCCCTTTGTCAACCATTTATGGTTCCCTTTTTTAGTTGGCCTTTTTATTGTGTGTATTGGGAAGCAAAGATCAAAAAAAAGTTTAAATAAAACATGAAATTCAACAAACGCCTCTTGTAAGTTACGTTTTTCGTATACAGTTGAGAAAGTAAGAGACGATATGCAGCTACAGAACTTATCCATGTTTTCTTTACTATAATTTCTAACATCCTCATACCAACTGCATATTTCATACGATTTGGTCGTTTTGAGCGCAAGTGTTTGTCCCGTTTCGTGATCAGATAAGGCCAGGTGATGTACCTCGGCTTTAACTTGCTTAATGTTGCTCGCTAATTGATCTAGACATGACAATTTTCTTGTTGGTGTTTTAATGTGCAACTCAATGTTAAAATTTTTTAATATACTTTGTAACTCCTCACAACTCTTATTTGGTTTTAAGATGTCCAAGTTCCAGTCACCGCAAAGAATAATTTTTTTATGCTTTTTAGTAATTCTTGCTAGTAACTGTTTTAGCTTTTCAAGAAATATTTGTGGATTGCTATTAGGAGTTCTATATAAACAGATAATCGTAATCTTATTTACTTCTACGCCACAACATTCAAAATTAAATTTACATGTCAAATCATCAATATTAGTAACGTTTTTATATTTCAAATTGTTATTTAACATTATACATACCCCTCCTCGTTTACTGTCCCGTGAATAAGATGCAACTAGTTTGTAACCAGGTATTTTAAAAAGCATTTCTGTACCTTTTTTAAGGAAAGTTTACGTCAAACACCATATCTATCTTTGAACCTTTTTGTGAAAACTCTCGGATTGCAAATGTTAGTTCCTCAGATTTATTTATAGCGCCGGCAATATTCTGGTGAAATATTCTAAAATTTAATTCCAATTTAGGGACGAAAACATTTATTTGTTTCTAAAGGCAACTGTGTGTCAGGTTGTTCATTTAAACACTGTATTGATTTTTTTTAAATAATAGGATATTGTTCCCTTCTTATAAGTTTCGGTATTTACCGTTTGCTTTTTGTTCAAAGAGGCAGTAGCAGAGTTCAATTCCTGGCGGTTATTACCTGAATAGGACTTTTACAGGACTTAAAGTAAAGAATTGTGCCCTTCTTTGGAATAATTTTGCATTCTGTTTTAGCCTTTTTCATAAATAATAACATATTTTTGGCGCATAAAAAATTATTTTTAAAATAGTTTGAGTCAATCTTAAAATTATTTTTTTTTACATACATCTAATAAGTAGTAATATTTATTATACGGATAGTCCCATTCTGTATTTATAAATGAGCAATTTTTAAAGTTGTTACATATAACTTTTAAATTGTTATTTAACATATTTTCATTTAAATATCTGTTCTGTAAAACATTAAATACTAATATTTTAGTTTTTTGAAAGTATTTGAGCATTGTTACTAATTCTATTATTATTTTGTTAGGGTTAGTATCATTTTCTCCTATACATATTATTAGATAATTATCTTCCGAATCGTCCAGTTTATAAATAGGTTTAAGAATTTCCTCCGTAGTGGCATATGGTTTTGTAGGTAGTTGAAAATATCTGGTAATTTTTGTACTGAGTATTATTTCTTGATTGTATAAGTAGTGTAGCCAACCCTGTGAATTGTTGTCCTCCGAATATAATTAATTGGGATTTTGGCTTGTTTTCAATAGGTTTAGAAAGTTGCTGATTACTGTTTACTTTGTTTTCTTTATGCAGATTTAATAAAGCGCCATCTGTTGTGTATTGATCGCACTTTTTAAAATTAAGTTTGTGCACTTGTGATGACAGGCTACCTATGGTATTAGAAGTAGCTAATTCAGTTGTGTTTCCTTCACGAGATTTTGTCTCAAGATCAGTGAAAGTCATATCCAGTTTCTTTTCCTCAATAATATTAAGATTTTTAACCTTACAGCTTTGTTTTTTTATAGTTGAATTTTTTTTGTACTACTTGGTGCTACGCTACAATTTTTTTTTTAATTTTTTTATGGTATTTTGTTGTTCAGCTGTTTGTTTCTTTAAAGTGATGTTTTCCATGGTTAAGTTATCTATTTCGTTGTTAGCCGTATTTAATTGCATTCTCAATCGTTCAATTTCCTCGTTGAGTCTTTCAAATTCTTCGTAACTTAGACCGGTTGACAATTGTGGTGGGCTTTTCGAAAGATATTCGGAATTTGTTGACTCAAACGAAGAATTGGCGAATTAATTATTGTTTTATTTTTTCTTAAAGTAATATTTTCAAAATCCATGTCTGTTTTTTTATCTTTTTAACAGTTCTATAAAAAAGCTGGTTCTAAAAAAGTTCTAAAGAATACATAAAAAGTTGGCTCGGATGGGATTCGAACTCGCTTTCTACAACTTCATACCATGTCAGGAACGCTAATCATTAATAGCTAATCGCGCTGTAGATAACCGGTCGAATATAGGGATCTTTTTCAGCTTGTGTTAAATTTGAACCCAACAAATTCGTTATGGTGACTCATTGATAAAATATTTTTGCATTAATTTTCACAACACTTAATATTTTAGCACTAAATAAGTCGTAGTAACACAGTTTCTTATGATTACTTCACTGACACTATAGTATTTTTCTCTTTTAAAGTTTTATTGATTGTAAAAAACGTAGTTTACTGACTGGATGTTATTGAAATTTTATTTTGAGTTTTATGTAATTATTTGTGAGATTTATCACTGCATAACACTTTCACTTATACTTTATAAATTCAGCAACAATATTTATAACTTAATAGTTTTAAAAACAGCGATATTTATTTTTAAAGATTTTTTGAACACAGACCCGATGTTACCGTGACAGCTAGCGCCATCTAGAATAGCAATGAATAGAATTGCAATGAATCTTATCACCGCAATTCAGAAAAGGATTCATTTGTGCAACGCCATCTACTACGTTTGTCAGAACACAATTTTGTAGTTTAAAGAAAATATAATATTCTTTTTTGTTTAGAGGTTTTTTTGATTATAGAACGTAATTTACACACAAAAATTTTATTACTATTTCTGAGATATTATGGTATGGCGCCGTTGAATTAATTCGAACTTACTTTTTGAAAATACCATATATTTTGATAAACTTAACCGATTTTAATAAAACAAGGATTAAATGTAACGTGATGATACGCTTTATGATTTCCTTAGCGATTTTATTGGAAAAAAAAGTTTACTTCATACCTACCTAATGAGTTCATAAAGAAACGGACAGACAGTTGTAAAAATTATAAAAATGTTCTTATTTACTTAATTTCAGTCCCCTTAATGATTTTTATCACAATCATAATACACAATGTATAAACACAGGTAATCATCACCTTTATTACAGGTATAAAAGAAAAAATTCGACGCAGTTGATACAATTACAAACATACATACAAACATACCAGAACATCTAAATCAGTGCCTGCTAAACAAATCACTCCTAAACTACAGTAGCATAGGCAAAGAAGAAAGTTCGATCCTAGCCGAAACCAACGTAATGAAGGTAAATAATCTTACGCTCACTAGATGTCGCTAGTTGACATTGAGGTAAAGTTTTTTGTTACACAATGTCATTTAATTGATAACTTAGTTTTAAATAAAAGTTTATCTGTTTCTAGGTATTAATACACAAAACAATGCCTCTGTGGTTGGTTCTTAAATTGTGTGCATTTTAATAATTTTTTTTATTTTTCTATTTTTATAATTATCTGTGGTTTGGTTTATTTATTTTTAATCTAATTAATACAAAATATAATGGTACCGAAAGAAACATTAGCCTTTACAATTTTTGAACAAATTAACTTCCCAACTATGAAATCTGTCAAATATTAACACCTCATTATAAGTGGCGCCATTTAAAATTTCATTTAGGTCACTCAACGGTAAAAAAAAAAAAAACATTTTAACACGTTCTCTGCGGCACAAGGCTTATAGGCCTGATACATGAACTTGCGGTCGGTGCGGAGCGAAAATAAATGCGTTCTCCCTCTGGTGCGAACGCAGTAACTTAAAGATTTCTCTACAAGTATATATTTAAGATCGTCTTTTCAATGGCTATTCATTTAAATAATAATATTTGTATCAGGCCTATCGACCTTATACCGCACTGGAGAGTAAAAATTGATATTCAGTGCGGATACAAGGCCCATAGGCCTTATGGGAAGTACAATGCCTATCTGCCTAATACCGCACTGATTGAAGAGTCAAAATTAATTAGTGTTGTGTTGACAGCTTTTACAAATGCTATGCAACTTTTACATTTTTTATGAATCGTACGCACATGTACGATTCATAAAAAAATGCATCGAGTCAATAAACGTTGTCGAAAAATGCTCGACCTGTCTTTTCAAAATGCTCAAGAAGTGGTGGACCAAAATAACAGTGCCAGTTTACAAGAAAAAAAAAACAAATTCAAATCCTTCAGGATGTTATTGTTAAGCCAGCTTTTACAAGCAGTGAAACTACAACTTTTCAAGAACCTCGCTGATGATAGTTATGCTCCCAACTCGTCTGACCTAGAAACTGATTCTTCTTACTCCGACGATAGTGATAGTGATGATAGCGTAATAACTTACTATGAAAACAGTTCTGAAACCGAATTAGTTCAAATACTTGAAAATACTCAATGTACAGAAAACAATAATTTTGACGAGTGGGAAGACATTAACGATACAAAACTTGATTTCGATGAATTCACAGATAATTGTAGACCAAACATTCCGGATAATACTATAACGCCAGCAGATTTTTACAGTCTATTTGTAACGGATGAAATTATTGAGCAAATGGTAATAAACACAAACAATTGCGCACAAGATCTTATTAGTAATCTAAGTAATCTTAAGCCTAAATCACGCTTGCGAGCCTGGACTCCTACAACTCCAGAGGAGATGAAAAAATTTTTAGGAGTGCTACTGGCGATGGGTCTTGTAAGAATACCACGTTTAAATGATTACTGGTCGAAAAGAAACATCTACAATAATAAATACATTAGTTCAGTTATGACAAGAGATCGATTTCTGCTAATTTTGATATTTTGGCATTTTAGTCAAGAGTCACCTAACGACACAGACAAATTGAAAAAAGATAAGGGATACTTTTAATAAGATTTTAGAAAAAATGCAAACCCTTTTGGAGCCAGGTCGGTATATTATCATAGATGAAAGTATGATTCCGTGGCGAGGGAGGTTGAAATTTCGCCAATACGTTAAAAACAAGTCCCACAAATATGGAGTGAAACTATATAAGCTCTGCACTCCAGAAGGATACACAAGAAACTGTATTATATATACAGGTAAAGGAGATAATGGTCGAGAAACTAATCATGGAAAGGAAACAGTATTAAGATTAATAAAAAGGATTAGAAAATAATGGAAGAATAATAATAACAGATAATTTCTACAATTCCATTGATCTTGCGGAAGAACTTATACGTAAAAAAGACCTTCATGTGTGGTACTCTGAGACCAAATCGGAAAGGAAATCCTAAGAAAATAATATCCATAAAATTGAAACGAGGTCAAATAGTAGGGAAAAATGAACCCAAATGGGGTAAGAGTTATAAAGTGGACAGATAAGAGACTGGTTCATATGATTTCTACGTGCCGAAATCACAATTTGACTCTTATATTTACAGGTACGTATTATATATGTGTCATTTTAGATAAGGATGTTAGTTTATTTTTTCTGTTTTATATATTTATTATATAGAAGTATTATTTTATAATATAGAAGTAACATTACAGTTGGCACTAAAGCATTATAACTAGCTATTTACATAATTATTTAAATGAAAAAATTAAAAATACATATGACGCAAAAATAAACACAAAATATAACTAGGTAAAAAATTGAGAAATTAGGAGTATTTTTTATAAATAAACTAGTATCCGCCCGCGATAAAATCTACAAATTTTGAGAAATTTAATTTGAATAAATTTATAGATACACTGTATCTACCAATATTTTAACTTGTATTTATCTCATTTTCAGGTAAGACGAACCGAATCACTGGAAACATAATTAAAAAACCACAATGCGTCATAACATACAATGAGAATAAAAAAAGGCATCGATTTTAACGACCAAATGTCTTCATATTATTCTAGCTTGAAAAGAGGCGTGAAATGGTTCAGAAAAGTAATGATGGAGATATTATTTGGAACAGTCATAATAAACAGCTGGGTATTATACAATCACGGAAAACCAGTTCAAATGCCAAAGAAGAATTTTATGGAAGCAATTATTGAAGCTTTGACTCAGGTGCCGATATTAACAGAAACAGGTAATATATTTTTCCGTAATATTTAGCACTAGGTAAAGATATTCTGTCTGAGAAAAAAAATAACTAAAAATGATAATAAAATACTTAACTGTAATTTAATACTGATACAATAACCTTATATTTTATTCTCGGAGCAAGCTAGTTTTTATTAGTTGTTAAGTTTTAAGATAAAGTTAGCTTTAAAATAGCAATAATCTCACACGGCGTTTCCTCTCTTGGTTTATTATTTAATTTGTTTCTTTTATTACAGCTAATGAATGTGCTGCTATGCCAAAGACGAATCATACCTTCGAAACCAAAGGAATAAAAAAGAAGAAACTGTGCGAGTTGTTACAATAAGCTTCGTGCAACGTTAAATAGCAAAGATGCTCAAAGAAAAACCAAAAAAATTAAATCGTATTGCGCTGATTGCAACAAGGGATATTGCGCTAAATGTTTTTACGAAAATCATCTATAACAGAAAACAGTTAATAATAAAATAAAGTTGATCTCGATATTTCTGTACTTATGTTATTTCCCATCACTAAAATTATCCCAATTATACCATTGCCTAGGTGCGGTAATGGGTCGATAAGCCTTATGTTTGTTTTTCTGTATATTTTCTAAATTAGCCATCGGAGCAATTTGCGACGCTAGTATAAGATAGGCTTACATTTTCTCAATAACCTAGTTAAAAAAAATATTCAATATCAAAAGTTTTCGCAGAGTTATTAGAGTCTGAAGTGACCAATATCTTACCAGGTTTATTGACCCATTGACGCACCGGTGAAAAGTTTAAGTATAAGGCCTATAGACCTGGTAACGCACTGGGGGAATAATGTCTCAAATAGTTGCCGCAGCGAACGTGTTAAGCAAACCTTATTATTTCTTATCTAAAATTTTATAAATAGGTAAATTAATTTGTCAACACGCAGTAGGCAGCGAGTATGAAGACACATCTACAGGAAAGAAAAACACATGACCTGCCTTTATGTGTATTACAGCACCACCATGTATCGATGACATTGATTAACTACCTATTGTACTTTAGATATTAGTAATGTTAATTCTATTTTTCGTTTATATTTATTACGTTATTCTTTCTTATTTTTGATTACTGCGTTTCAGATATATCATCATGGAAAATTATTTTACATCATTCAATATTATTTTTAAATTTTTTTATATATTTATTGAAACTAACAACTATCATGACAGGAGTAACCTAATGCGACAGTGTAGTTCTTTTTATACAGAACAAAAATTTAGAAATTAACTGTAACAAATTGTAAACTCCAGTAAATTCACTCAAGCAGCAACAGAATGGGTCTATGTCTTCAGCCATTTATTAAGAATGCGTAACGTTCGCGTATGTAGTAAATTGGTTCAGGCGCGCGGCACGGAGAGCAGCCGCGGCCGTCGCCGTTTCCATACGTACCCGTCTGGAACACACAGCCCTAAGTAATACACAGCCCAATCCGCTCCAATATGAAACTATTACATATATATTTTTCCTCTAAGCACTTTACAAATATATAAGGCTAATGCGAGGTCTCGCCTTACCCTCAACTCATTGTAGCCAACCATACTTGGAATAAATCAAGTTGGGTACATTAATGGGCATATAGGGAAGACCTCATAATGATTTACGATATGAGATTAAAATGCACTTGATGACTCAATGCCGCCGTTCAACAAAATTGTACTTAAAATTCGTACCCATACTTCAGAATTTTATTTATAACTATCGATAGAATGAACCGATTTTAATAAAACAAAGACTGAAATGAACACAAAAATACGTTTTATAACTTCCTTGCTGATTATTTTGATACAAATTAGTACTTTGTACGTGATACGTTAACAAACAAACAGACATACAGACAAACAAACAATTCTAAAAATTGTAGAAATGTATTTATTTACTTATTTTTATTCCCCCCCCCCCCCCCCCATCACTTTTATTACAAAAATATAAAACGTACAGACATCTGCAGTTTACATTTCTATTATATGTATAGATTACACTGTTTTATTGAATTATTTGAACACATTTGGAGATTTTGTAATTTTTCTTCTTCTATTGCTAATTGAACAGATTCGTTTAAGGTTTGAGGGTTTCTACACCTAACAATAGTGGAAATAACAGGGTTTAACCCCAGTAAAAATGTATTTTATGCTTGAGCGGCTATTCTATCTAGAAGTTCTTCAGGAGTTTTGCAGTATATATCCGACTAGATTTGTGTTAAAATTTGTTCTAATTTTGAGGAAAATTTAGTAACGTCCCCGGACGACTGTTTGCAGTTTTGCAAATCTGATAATAAATGTGTCTCTTGTTTTTTCTCCCCAAAAGTAGAACGAAGAAAAAACTTTATTTGGTTCCAAGTTTCAAAATGTTTAAAACTAAATGCAACTTGAGCTTTTCCCTCTAGTTGTGAGATAATGTTTTTGCACAAAATAGTGTAGCAAACGACATTGCATTATCACAGTTGGTAAGAAAATTAGGTAGGGATTCCTTCTCCTCATTATAAGATTTTATAAATTTCTTCAAAAACGAAAGTGTGATTTTTTCTGACATAATATTGTCTTTACTTTTTTCTGCTTTAATTGACATACAATTGATATTTAAAGTTGTATAAAATAATCACAATAAAACCAACGTAAAATGGAAGTAACAATACAAAAAACAGTGTAAAATAAAGTTAAATTTAAATTTAAATTAGAAAACAAAATGACTTACAGGAAAATAATAACTTCTATACGCAGCATTTATGCGTAATAATAGCTCGGTGACACGTCACACTCGTGGCGGCTGGCGGGCGGAATCGCGACACGATGACTTCGTCATAGGAAATAGCAGGAATGGAAGATGTAGAATATTCTTCAAATATCTGTCTTTTCGTTGGTGAGCTTAGACTCAGCTGGTGCGGGCTCCTGGTGGAGGCTGATCGTCGGCCAGACGCGTGATTTCAGGACCAGGAGCGGGCTCACGCTTCAGAGCGGAGGCTGATCGTCGTTCAAAATTGTGTAAGGCGCAGGCGTAGGCAAGCTTAGGCTTAATGTCAACCTTTGTGATTTCGAGGACTTGGAATTCGGATGCCAATGTCTTTTATGACCTTCTGTTTGGCATTCCACTTTTGACACCAATTTGTTTGGAGGCCGATCCCATTTGACTTCTTTAAAAAAAAACACTAAGTAAACTTAACGTCAAAGTTCCGGCAATTTACTAATCTGTGGTTCCGGGAAGTCTGCAGTTTGTGGTCATATCCAAGACGGCCCAAACCATCACATCAGATTTTATAGACCACAAACCCTCGCGAAAGAGCATCGATTCCCACCAAGATCATCCTTGATTGACGTGAGCCTATTGAAATTAAAAAACATCCTAATTTCAATAGAGGAGGAGGAGGACGAGGCTGGGTACTACCACCTGCTTGGGACCCTATAATTAATAAAATAAAAAACTTAACCCAAGCATACCACTTCGTGTTAGATTACTAAGTATAAATATTTCTTTTTATGACAAGTTTCTAAACGATTAATGGTCATTGGGTTGGGATATTCTTTTATCATATTATACATTACGCTATTTGCTGTATAAAAATAGTTGAGACTAAATTTTAATTCCTAACATTTAAGAATTATAAAAATAACTTCTTTACTAATAATAAATATTTTACAAGTAATTATATTCACATAATTAGTCACTCAAATAAAAAAGTATTTATATTTTAAATGTTATTGTACTGGGGAACTAGCCAGCCAATATGGCGGCATTAGACTGAATAAGTGACGAAGTCTGATTTGTTAAAATTGATTAAATAATTAAAAAGACATCCAGACCTATTAATTTATAGTCGGGTATAAGGTAGCTTAAATCACTTCTAGCATTGGCTGCAATCGGTTCAGCTATTTCGAAGATGAACCCGGTCATACAAACAGATAGACAGATCGATTATATTATGCATAGAATAGTTTTTGATTATGGCTTATATCACCTATGTTTCCTCGAACTTATAATTTGTCTATGTTAGTTTGCAACACGAAAAAAAGCTCTGTTGGTAAAACGGGAAAAGAAATTCTCATAGGACCGAATGATAAGTTGAGTCGGACGAAGAGCTTAAACCCAGCTCAGGATTATATTTTGTTCAGTCTCTAAGATAGGCGGCAGATTTATGTTCATCAGTGAAATTTTAATGGGCTGCAATGTTGATGATTTTGACATGTATGTTGTTTATACACATCTTCTCCCCTTCCCGCTGACCAAGTCTCGTCGTATCTTCTAGTATGCAGTAGATAATATTTCTTCACTGCCATACAAGTAAATTTTGACGTACGTGACAGGTGGACTGTGTGCTTGTTTGTCACCTTTCTCCTATAAAACAAGCGGCGCACTGTTTTGAACATCTGAACGTACATTAAAATTATTTGTTGCCAGCTATTTTAAATGCATAATATTTTTGTCTAGTAAGTTTGTCTGCGTTTAAAGAATTATCTATAAGAAGTTGTGTTTCGATTATTGACGAAACGTCGCGTACGTTCAATCAAATCCAGGACAATACGACTGATTTTGTGTGGTGTCTTGGTCTCCTACCTGTTTTATGAGATGGTTAATAATCTTACTTCGCATAAAAATTGATCAAGTATACTTTTGGACTGAATCTATGTTTGTTTTAGGGTAGTAGTAGCTAAACCTTAGATAATAGATCCTTACCTAAACCTTAGATAGTAAGCAGAAAAGAACCCAGCAGACTTAAAATCTCGTTGTGTGAGCTCTCCTACCGTGAGTTTGCACTGACGCGATTTTCACAAAAAACATGTTTTAAACACTGTTTCCTGTCAATGTATCAAAAATCGTTTGCATAAAGTCAAAGAACATGTTGTAGTAAAATATTTTTGAAAGTTTATTGTACATATTTTAACTATGATATATCTTTATAACTACAGAAACAAAATGTTTGAAAACAAATTTGTAGAAGTATTGTTATGTTGAAAGATAAGTTTAAATATCTGTTGAAAATTTTACACAGTTTTTGTGAGTGCGAATACCACCGTCAACAAAACATGTTGTATGATTTTTTTTATACGATTTGTTTCAAAACATTACGTGTTGCATGTTTTTCAGTGTAAACTTACAGTTAGAGTCTCAACTTGTGGTGGTTTATTCTAGAGTTTTTAAATGTGCCTTTTCAAAATGACCTTTTCAGCCTAAATATAATAAAATAATATCTGAAACACGTCACCATAATATTACTAACATTAATTTATTTCATTAAGTAAAATTTTACGTCGTAGAGCCATGCTGCAGTTATATTAGTAGTATAGTTGTAGCACGAATGGGTCGGCTCGACCGGGGAAGG